CCTGCCTCTCCCCGCCTCTCCCCGGCTCTCTCCGGCTCTCACTCGCCTCTCCCTGCCTCTCCCTGCCTCTCCCTGCCTCTCCCTGCCTCTCTCCGGCTCTCACTCGCCTCTCCCTGCCTCTCCCTGCCTCTCCCTGCCTCTCCCCGCCTCTCCCCGGCTCTCCGCTCCGGCTCTCGCTCGCCTCTCCCTGCCTCTCTCCGGCTCTCACTCGCCTCTCCCTGCCTCTCCCCGCCTCTCCCCGGCTCTCTCCGGCTCTCACTCGCCTCTCCCTGCCTCTCCCTGCCTCTCTCCGGCTCTCACTCGCCTCTCCCTGCCTCTCCCTGGCTCTCGCTCGCCTCTCCCTGCCTCTCCCTGCCTCTCCCTGCCTCTTTCCGGCTCTCGCTCGCCTCTCCCTGCCTCTCCCTGCCTCTCTCCGGCTCTCACTCGCCTCTCCCTGCCTCTCCCTGCCTCTCGCTCGCCTCTCCCTGCCTCTCCCTGCCTCTCCCTGCCTCTCTCCGGCTCTCGCTCGCCTCTCCCTGCCTCTCTCCGGCTCTCGCTCGCCTCTCCCTGCCTCTCTCCGGCTCTCACTCGCCTCTCCCTGCCTCTCTCCGGCTCTCACTCGCCTCTCCCTGCCTCTCCCTGGCTCTCGCTCGCCTCTCCCTGCCTCTCTCCGGCTCTCACTCGCCTCTCCCTGCCTCTCTCCGGCTCTCGCTCGCCTCTCCCTGCCTCTCTCCGGCTCTCACTCGCCTCTCCCTGCCTCTCCCTGCCTCTCGCTCGCCTCTCCCTGCCTCTCGCTCGCCTCTCCCTGCCTCTCCCCGGCTCTCACTCGCCTCTCCCTGCCTCTCCCCGGCTCTCACTCGCCTCTCCCCGCCTCTCCCTGCCTCTCGCTCGCCTCTCCCTGCCTCTCGCTCGCCTCTCCCTGCCTCTCTCTGGCTCTCACTCGCCTCTCCCTGCCTCTCGCTCGCCTCTCCCTGCCTCTCCCTGCCTCTCCCTGCCTCTCGCTCGCCTCTCCCTGCCTCTCTCCGCCTCTCCCCGCCTCTCCCTGCCTCTCTCCGCCTCTCCCCGCCTCTCCCTGCCTCTCTCCGCCTCTCCCTGCCTCTCCCTGCCTCTCTCCGCCTCTCCCTCGCCTCTCCCTGCCTCTCCCTGCCTCTCCCTGCCTCTCCCTGCCTCTCGCCCGCCTCTCCCTGCCTCTCGCTCGCTCTCCCTGCCTCTCCCCGGCTCTCGCCCGCCTCTCCCCGCCTCTCCCTCGCCTCTCCCTGCCTCTCCCTGCCTCTCTCCGCCTCTCCCCGCCTCTCCCTGCCTCTCTCCGCCTCTCCCTCGCCTCTCCCTGCCTCTCCCTGCCTCTCCCTGCCTCTCGCCCGCCTCTCCCTGCCTCTCGCCCGCCTCTCCCTGCCTCTCCCCGGCTCTCGCCCGCCTCTCCCTGCCTCTCGCCCGCCTCTCCCTGCCTCTCGCCCGCCTCTCCCCGCCTCTCCCTCGCCTCTCCCTGCCTCTCCCCGCCTCTCCCCGGCTCTCGCCCGCCTCTCCCTGCCTCTCCCCGGCTCTCGCTCGCCTCTCCCTGCCTCTCCCCGCCTCTCCCGCCTCTCGCCTCTCCCCGCCTCTCCCCCGCCTCTCCCTCCCTCGCCTCTCCCTGCCTGCCTCTCCCTGCCTCTCCCTGCCTCTCCGGCTCTCCCCGCCTCTCCCCTCGCTCGCCTCTCCCTGCCTCTCCCTGCCTCTCCCTCGCCTCTCCCTCGCCTCTCCCTCGCCTCTCCCCGGCTCTCGCTCGCCTCTCCCTGCCTCTCCCCGGCTCTCCCTCGCCTCTCCCTGCCTCTCCCCGGCTCTCCCTGCCTCCCCTCCGCTCTCCCGCTCTCCCCTCGCCTCTCCCTCCCGCCTCTCCCTCGCCTCTCCCCGGCCTCTCCCCGCTCTCCCTCGCCTCTCCCGCCTCTCCCGGCTCTCCTCGCCTCTCCCTGCCTCTCCCCGGCTCTCCCTCGCCTCTCCCCGCCTCTCCCCGCCTCCCTCGCCTCTCCCTGCCTCTCCCCGGCTCTCGCCTCGCCTCTCCCCGGCTCTCCTCGCCTCTCCCTGCCTCTCCCCGCCTCTCCCTCGCCTCCCGCCTCTCCCCGCCTCTCCCCCCGCCTCTCCCGCCTCTCCCTCGCCTCTCCCCGCCTCTCCCCGCCTCTCGCTCCCTCGCCCCGCCTCCCCCGCCTCCCGCCTCTCCCTGCCTCTCCCGCCTCTCCCCGCCTCTCCCCGCCTCTCCCCGCCTCTCCCGCCTCTCCCCGCCTCTCCCCGCCTCTCCCTCGCCTCTCCCTCGCCTCTCCCTCGCCTCTCCCTGCCTCTCCCCGCCTCTCCCTCGCCTCTCCCCGCCCTGCCTCTCCCTCGCTCTCTCCCTCCGCCTCTCCCCGCCTCTCCCCGGCCTCTCCCGCCTCCCTCGCCTCTCTCCCTGCCTCTCCCGCCCTCCGCTCTCCCTGCCCTCTCTCCCTCGCCTCTCCCTGCCTCTCCCCGCCTCTCCCCGGCCTCCCTCGCCTCTCCTCTCCTCCTCCCCGCTCTCTCGCCTCTCCCTGCCTCTCCGCCCCGCCTCTCCTCGCCCTCCCTGCCTCTCCCTGCCTCTCCCCGCCTCTCCCTGCCTCTCCGCTCTCCCTCGCCTCTCCTGCCTCTCCCCGCCTCTGCCCTCCCTCGCCTCTCCCTCGCCTCTCCCTGCCTCTCCCTCTCCCCCTCGCCTCTCCCTCGCCTCTCCCTGCCTCTCCCCGGCTCTCCCTCGCCTCTCCCTGCCTCTCCCCGGCTCTCCCTCGCCTCTCCTCCCGCCTCTCCCGGCTCTCGCCGCCTCTCCCGGCTCTCCTCGCCTCTCCCTCGCCTCTCCCTGCCTCTCCCCGGCTCTCCCTCGCCTCTCCCTGCCTCTCCCCGGCTCTCCCTCGCCTCTCCCTGCCTCTCCCCGGCTCTCCCTCGCCTCTCCCCGCCTCTCCCCGCCTCTCCTCGCCTCTCCCTGCCTCTCCCCGCCTCTCCCTCGCCTCTCCCCGCCTCTCCCTGCCTCTCCCCGGCTCTCGCCCGCCTCTCCCTCGCCTCTCCCTGCCTCTCCCTCGCCTCTCCCCGGCTCTCGCCCGCCTCTCCCCGGCTCTCCCTCGCCTCTCCCTCGCCTCTCCCTGCCTCTCCCCGGCTCTCCCTGCCTCTCCCCGGCTCTCCCTCGCCTCTCCCTGCCTCTCCCCGGCTCTCCCCGGCTCCTCCTCTCCTCTCCCTCGCCTCTCCCTCGCCTCTCCCTGCCTCTCCCCGGCTCTCCCTCGCCTCTCCCTGCCTCTCCCCGCCTCTCCCCGCCTCTCCTCGCCTCTCCCTGCCTCTCCCTGCCTCTCCCTGCCTCTCCCCGGCTCTCCCTCTCCTCTCCCTCGCCTCTCCCTGCCTCTCCCCGGCTCTCCCTCGCCTCTCCCTGCCTCTCCCCGGCTCTCCCTCGCCTCTCCCTGCCTCTCCCCGCCTCTTCCCGCCTCTCCTCGCCTCTCCCTGCCTCTCCCCGCCTCTCCCTGCCTCTCCCTGCCTCTCCCCGCCTCTCCCTGCCTCTCCCCGGCTCTCGCTCGCCTCTCCCCGGTTCTCGCCCGGAGCTGCCTTGCTCTGAGCCAGACTCATCGTCAGCCTGTTCTTATTTTAAATAAACTACGTTTACTACACAGCATGTGTACAATGATTCTGTTACTCAGAACGTTACTACTCATACACATAATATTACTAATAACAATAATGACAATAAAACAACAGCAGCAGATACATGACTTCTCTCCATGACAGAGACAGACCGTCTGCTGCTCCTCGTCTCCTGATTGGTTGAAGCCCGCGTCAAAGCTTCAAAAGCTCAGCTTTGCTCAACTTCGGCGTCAAAGGGATTGTTGTGATACGCGAGCGTTTCGCGCGTCAAAAGCTTCAAGTGAGCGCGTATTACGTGCAACTTTTGAAGCTTTTGACGCGCGCCAAGTGACGCCGGGCCCCTTGGCTTCACCTGACGCACTTCACCATTCACTTTCTATGCAAACCTGACGCTTTTGACGCTGAAGTTAAGTCCGGTGTGAACGCCCCTTTAATCCATTTCTGGGTCGGGGGGTGGCCAGAGATGCCACCCAGTACACATAGCACCAGCCCCTCACTGATCCTCCTGCAGGAGGTGAGTCCACAAGAGGATGGCTGCTCTATGGCATAGCCTTGATCTGTCAGCAGGGGCTACAGCCAAAGTGGGGTTAAGTGTCTTGCCCAAGGACACAACGACAGCAGTCATCAGTGGGAGTCGGTGGAGAAGGTCTCAAAGGCCTTCAGGCTCAAAGGCCAATACTCTACCAACTGAGCCACATGGGCGGCACGGTGACTGAGTGGTTAGCACTCTCGCTTCTCAGCAAGAAGGTCCTGGGTTTGAATCCCGGTTGGACCAGGGCCTTTCTGAGTGGAGTTTGCATGTTCTCCCCGTGACTGCGTAGGTTTCTTCCGGGTACTCCGGATTCCCCTACCACTAAAAACATGTACAATAGGTCTGCGCCTCCTGTACTGGCCCCTCCCATCTCTGTGTGGAGTCAGAGACTAATGCCCAAAAATAACAATTGTAAACCGATTTGAGACTCTGACCTGCAGTGAAAAGGCGGTATATAAATAAAGATGACTTACTACTACTTACTGTTGCCCTACATGCAGATCAAGCCTCTCAAATGCATCTTGTAACATTGTCTTAGCAATCAAACTTTGGAACAATAATGGTAAATACATTTTAAATGATAAATACTTTGTAAGAACCCCTTTAGCAAATGTAATCGTACAAGTCATTTCATTTAACACAATGTTTCCTGATTTTGCCTCACGTAACAAAACCAAAACAAAACAAAGAAATACGTGAGAGGGAACGTGTACTTCGTCACAATGAGGACAGTGAGGGAGTGGCCTCTAACCGTCCAAATGTCTTCATTTCTTAAACACGGCCTGTGTCTTGTCCAATGGACACGGAGAATGCCCCGGTTTCACTACTATTCAGGAGTGTTTTGTCAGCGCACTCAGTGTATGTAATGTCAGGGTGGGGGTCCTCCACTCACTGTTGTGGGGGTGTGCGTTGCTCCTCTCCAGCTCCTGGATCTGCTGCACCAGGGCAGAGATATGCTGGAGCAAGTCTCTGTTCTGCAGCAGCAGCTGGTGCACTCTGGCCTGGGCTTCGATCCTCGCTGTGGCCTCTGCACTCAGCTGGTCCCTCAGGAGGTGCACCTGGACACACATGGGGTGAAAACTCATATTAGGAGATTTTACAAGCTTGGGTCAAAAAACAAAACTATGTATGAATAATTAAAGATGGATTACCTCACCTTATTTTTGTATTCATTACAATAATTCAATCAATATTCTATATAAATATATTAAAATAAAAATATAAAATATATGTATAATGAAAATATAATATATTTAATACTCAATCCATACTTTATAAAGAGCAGGAAGACAAGGTTCTGAAGTGTTCAAGAGTCCAACAGCAGAGGGGAACAAACTGTGCTACAGAACAGGGAACATCCCCAAGACACACAACATTAAACATTTAAAATTTACAATACATCAAACAGACACCATCATGAAACATAAAAACATACTGTACACTTCTAGAAGGCCTTGAAAGCCTCTACACTTTATGGGGCCCTGAGGGTCTCTGGAAGGCCCTCCCAGAGACCCTCAGGGCTCCACACTTTATGGGGCCCTGAGGGTCTCTGGGAGGGCCTTCCGGAGCCGCGGGGCTGCTGCCTGAAAGGCCCTGTCAGATTCATAGAAAACCTGGGACCCTTCACTCAAGAAGGGTCCGTGATGAAAAACCATTTCTCCGCGTATTTCACCGCAATAAAGTGTAAGTAAGTAGTAATGTAGTAATGTTTATTTATCAATCAATCAATCAATCAAAGTTTATTTGTATAGCACTTTACAACAACACCAGGAGGACCAAAGTGCTTCACAGACAGATTAAAACAATTTAAAACACAAAATGAAAACCACCAAGACACAATTCAGTGTGCCCTAAGTATTAAAAGCTAGTTTAAAAAGATGAGTCTTTAATCTGGACTTAAAAAGGGACAGGTCCGTGAGAACACGCAGACTGAGTGGCAAGCTGTTCCACAGTTTAGGCGCTGCAACCCTGAAGGAACGTTCGCCCCACTGTTTGTAGTGGGACCTGGGCACATCCAGAACCATTTGATTGGCAGACCGGAGAGCTCTGCTGGGGCGATGTACGGTCAACAACTCAGTTAAATATAACGGAGCGAGACCATGAAGAGCTTTAAAAACAAGCATTAACATTTTAAAATCAATCCGAAAACGGACCGGGAGCCAGTGCAGGGAGGAGAGGACAGGAGTGATGTGGCTGTATCTAGATGAACCGGTGAGAAGACGGGCTGCTGCATTCTGCACCAACTGTAACCGGTTGAGTGACGACTGTGGGAGGCCAGAGTAGAGAGCGTTGCAATAGTCCAACCGAGAGCTGATAAATGCGTGCGTTGCCTTCTCGAGGTCTTGGCGTGAGAGAAAGGGCTTCACCTTGGTCAAAAGGGCGCAGCTGGAAAAAGCTGGCTTTGACAACAGCATGTATTTGTTGTTTAAAGTTCAGTTCCCGGTCAAAAACAACTCCCAGGTTCCTGACGGCATCACGGACTGGACCCACGACCCTGGACTGAAACTGAGGAACATCCCCGGAGCCAAAAATAATGAATTCGGATTTTGTTTCATTGAGGTGGAGGAAATTCTGCGTGAGCCATTGTTTAATGTCCGAAAGGCAGTGGTGAAGGGAGTCAAGGGCAGTGGCAGTGTTAGGGAGCACTGGTAAATAAACCTGGACATCGTCAGCATAAAGATGGAATGATAAATTATGTCTGGCAATGATGGACCCGAGCGGCAGCATGTAAAGTGAGAACAGGACCGGGCCAAGGATGGAACCCTGTGGCACCCCAGATGACAGCGGGGTGGAGGAGGAGGAATAGTCATCGACCATCACAACAAAGCTCCGGTCAGTCAGGTAGGACCTGAACCACTGCAGGACCGTGCCCTGAACACCAACATGCTCCGCCAGCCGGGAGAGGAGAACTGAGTGGTCCACGGTGTCAAACGCCGCAGTCAGGTCCAGCATCATCAAAAGCACTGGCTGCTTCGAATCCAAAGACAGCAGAATGTCGTTGTGCACTTTAAGAAGAGCTGACTCCGTGCTGTGACGCGATCTGAAGCCTGATTGAAATTTCTCCAAAATAGAATTATTTTCCAAAAAGGTCTGCAACTGAATGAAGATTAGTTTCTCTAAAACCTTAGACAAAAATGGCAGGTGAGAGACAGGTCGAAAATTTGACAGAATAGCAGGATCTAGATTAGGTTTTTTTAACAGTGGCCTAACCACAGCATGCTTGAAGGCTGCAGGAACAGATCCAGTGCTAAGGCAGCTATTAAACAAAGCAAGAAGGTATGGGCCCACAGTGTCAAAAGCATGTTTGAGAACCTTAGATGGAACAATATCCAGAGGACAACTTGTGGGTCTCATCCCCTGGACCACCTCAGAGAGGAGAGTCAGTGTCACAGGCTCAAATTCTTCGAGAACAGCAGGGGGCAGTGGAGGAGTATAAACAACAGCAGAGTGAGCATTACAGCCAATGCCCATCCTCACTGATGCCACTTTATCCACAAAATGCTTCAGGAATCCATCACATGTAGACTCAGAAACATTCTTTAGCACACTGCCAGGTGGACTAATCACAGACTGTATTGAGTTAAAAAGCACCCTAGGGTTGCTAGAGCTGGAGGAGACAATATTTGATAGATATTGGCATTTAGCCTCCCTGACTGCCTTTTTGTAGCTGGCTAGGCTCTCCCTCAGGATCTCCACAGACACCTGAAGCTTGTCCTTCCTATACCTGCGCTCAGCCTGTCTGCATTGCTGCCTCAGGGCTCGGGTGGTTTCATTGAGCCACGGGTCTGGTTTGATTTTAGTAGATTTGCACCTAAATGGTGCAATACTGTCCAGAATGTCAGTGCAGGTAGAGTGGAAGGAGGAAACTGCATCATCTGGACAGACATGGGGAGCCACAACTGTCCCTGTGTACAGAGCAGTGGTCCTAAAGGCAGTGGCAAACTGAGCAGGGGTGGAGGAGGAAATGATGCGGCGACAGGAGGGTGTAGTGAGAGGGTCGGATGCAGAACGGGGTACAGAAAAATTAAAAAGAATTGGGAAATGATCTGAGATGCATGTCTGAGATATTTCCTGTAGTATTACAGGTAGATCATGTGAGATAATAAGGTCCAGTGTGTGGCCAAGATTATGTGTGGGTTTATGCACTGATTGTGACAGGTCAACAGTGTCCAACAGGCAGAGGAACTCAGATGCTAAAGTATTTGATGGACAGCACACATGAATGTTAAAATCCCCACAAATTAAGATGTTGTCATATGATGGGACAAACTCGGCCAGAAATTCTGAAAACTCAGTTATAAAATTCTTATTGTGCTTAGGTGGGCGGTAAACAATGGCACACAAAACAGGGGTGGCTGACTCAAATAAAAAGAGCTGCAGTTCAAAACTACTGTAGGCTTTGGTGGGCAGAAAGCGACAGGTGTATGTATGCTTATACACAGTAGCCAGGCCACCACCACGGCCTGAGAGCCGCGGTGTACTGAGGTATGAATATCCAGGTGGGAGGAGCTCAGTGAAGGCGCTGTTATCACCAGATTTTTGCCAGGTTTCCGTCAGAAAGCAAAAATCCAGATCGTGCGTAGAAATGAAGTCGTTTATGATGAAAGTCTTGTTTGAGAGTGAACGGGCGTTGAACAGTGCTGCAGAGAGACAGAGAGATCCACAGCTGACAGGCTCCGAGACAGCGCGGACCAGTGGGCGGAGATTCTCCTGTGAGCACCGCCGACTCTGGATCCTGACGGGGCGGCAACGCGGAAGGGGGTGCCCAGCATCAGGGCTAGCTGGACACAGCCACCGATAGCAGAGCTGGAGGGGACGCCGGAGGTCGAAACCGGATCTGATGTCCAATTGCGCAGAGATTTTGAAAATATTTATAAGTGGCGAGATTTAATATGATTGACCATTTTTACTGCAGTGTCAAGGACGTGTTTTTAACTCAGGGTCAAGGTTTTGATTTACTTGCGATGGCTTCTCTGTGTATGGATCAGTGCGTAAATATGACATGTGTGCACTTGCAGTCTCGTGCTTTTCAAACCCCTGTTTTTTCCCGATAGCATTGCACCATGCACCATCCTGTGCACACAGGACAACGCACTCGCTCCAAGAGAGACCCTCTTTTTTGAGATTGCCCCATCACAGTTGTAAAAAATGTCTTCGCCAGTGCAAGTTCCCTCCAGCTGCAAGCAAAACAGCATTTCCTCTCTAAACTTTCCCTCAAAAGATTTCCCATCAAAAACAAGGAGCAGGCGGTATTGGAGAACGACCAGTGGAATGGTCCAATTGTAAGGAATACTTTCCTCCCTTCACTGCGCAATGATTTGACGATTGATGTCCCCCCCCCAGTGGCCAATTCACTGATGCCGGGCGGCCAATAGCCCACCATCTGAGTGAGCACCTGGCAAGCTACGCGCGTGCTTAAACCCGTCGCATAATGCACACATGGCTATTGCCGCTGGTTTAATTAAAGATTCACCTAATTGTGTGAGCTTTTTTGGTCCGTGCAATTACAGATGTCCACTATCGTAGAAGCCCTCTGAGCTTTAGCAGGGTTTGTTCTTTGCGTAGTATAGGAGGTTTCTTTTGCCCTCTTAGCTCGCCCATCTTTTCTCTGCGGAAAACTCGGAGAGGTTTAGCAGCGAGATTGGGAAGCTCGTGTTCAGATGTCTTTGCATTTTTACAGGCTTGAGACGTTCGTGAGCGAGGACTTCAGAGCAAACTACACACGTGGGGATGTTGTACTCCGTTTACGACAGAGACACACAAATCCATAATTAATGAATTCTTCTCGGTACTAGTCCTTGTTTTGGAGTAAGCCGGTACGACTGAGTCTGGCTGCTCCCCCCTTAGCAGTAGGTGGAGGGCATTTCTTGCGGGGTGCGCCCTCGACTGTTTCTCCGCTGTCATTCTCACCATCGGCCTCTGGCTACCTGAACAACTTTTCCTCCCCGTCTGGTTTTTCTGTTTTTGGATATTAACCACCGTTTCATTGTAAGCAGGAATATTTTGTAGTTTGTAGCCTCGTTAAAACGAAATAGCGTTAGCAAACAACATGTAAGTTTCCCCAGTCGCA